CACGGGTTTGGTACTGAGCCGGTGTGTGTTCTGGAATCTCTGCTTTCCAGAGAGAAGCATGCCATCTCCTGTGACCGATCGACATCTTCACGCTTTAATTAACATCTTCACGGTGCACAGACGGCGGCTCTGAGTGGCTACTAACACACACGTTAGCTTCCAAATCCTAGTGTGAGCACCTTGCTGTCCACATAGGCTGATAGGCAATTTCCTAACTAAAATAGAACGTCTTAAACAACTGATTTAGAACTTTATACAGTTAAACACAAAATAGTGCTACTAATTTGAACTCACAATTGATTTCTATGCCGACAACAAACATTAAAAAATGACAATGCTTTTTTTCAAAAACAGTGCAGTTTTAATTAGACTGACACATATTTTCATAATTTTATCATATTTATACATATTTTTACTGAATATATATATATATATATATATATACTGTATATATATATATATATCACATTTCTCTCAACACATCCACCATCTCAGATTGTAAAGTTGTTGCAATGCATTCTGGGATTTATGTCTCCTTGCTGGAATGTTATTTTAGCATTATGTATATATTATTATAGTTTTTATTTTTTTTTATTTTTTTTATTTTTTCGATTTTTTTACATTTTTAGTTTTAAAATTTTGTTAGTTAAACTTAATAAGTTAAACTTTTAGTTATTTTGTTTTAATGTGTTATATATATATATATATATATATATATATATATATATATATATATAGGGTTTTTTAAGCTTGTTTAGTTTTAGTTTTTATTAATTTATTTCCAGTAAGTTATTGTAATTCTTCAAATTATAATCAGTTATTTTCCAAGACAATATTTGTAATTTCCATTTAGTTTAAGTTTTTTAATCTAACATTTTTTATTTATTTATAGTATATAATTTATTTCTATTTTTAGCTTTCATTTTAATTTTAGTTTTTTTTTTAGCTTTTTTTAATTTTCATTTCAGATTCATTTTTTAATTTTATGATTTTCATTTTATAATTTTCGTTTAATGCTTTTCATTTTAATTTATATATATATATATATATATATATATATATATAATATATTATATGTATACATATTTTGAGTTTAATTTTAAGTTTTGCTAATTTATGTAATATATATATATATTACAATATTACACAAAATGCTGGAAATAAATAAAAACTAAAACTGAATATATATATATATATATATATATATATATATATATATATATATATATATATCATTTTTATCATATATATACAGTTAATTTTTTCAGTTTTATTTATTTTCCAGTTATTTATAATCCAGCCTGGGTATAGGGAGCAAGCTAGGTTTTGAAAGAGATCCATCGTCTTTCTCCACATTACAGTCTTATTTTCCTTTTAAATCTTTTTATTCAGTCGAGAGGCATTCTCTCACACACACACGCGCCTGAACTCTCGTGCACATTTACATTTCCTCTTGCTGTTTTTTCTAGTGGACCGCTGTTAATTAAATGAAAGCAGACGCTGCTCATCCTCATTCGTGCTTATTTTCCCCAGCGCAGCTCCGTGCTGAGATAACCGGTGCTCCTGAAAGCAGGAACCGTCTCCGAGAGGATGTCGTGTGCAGTGCAACAAGGAAAGGAAAGAATGAGATTTACAGGATTAGAGCTGGAAAAAATCCGTCAGTTCTTCCTCTGCAGAAAGGACGAGGAGTTTCCCCCCTCTGCCAAATGGCACCAGCATCCTCCACCAACATCCAAAGGCACCAGATAGATTTCTCTCTTCTGTTGCCATGGGCAACCAATGTCTTCCTCCATCCTTGGGTTATGCCTTCCCTCTCCCTCTCTCTCTCTCTCTCTGTCTCATGGGCCACTTGCCGGCGGAGATTCTCCGTTTCCAGGCGGTTTGCCACGTTTCTGTGTCTCTGCGAGCGGTTGGAATAATGCTATGTGATAATGAGGTTAAAAACCTCATGAAGATGTCGAGGAGATTTTCTTTCTTTGTGTCATTTTGCTCGGTAACAAACTGTCTCCGTAGAGTCGGTTCAGACTGACCTGATCGTTTGAGATGAGGTGTAATTTTGACTCCCATCAAATATCTTTGCTTATAATTACGTGTATCTTTCCCTCCCCAGCATCAGCTGTTTCAGTATATATCATATGCATCGTAATATCTGTTCTTTGATGTCCTATTTACAGAGTGCCTCCTCTTTTACTTAATCTTTTCTTGTGATTTCCAAAATTAGATTTGCGAACACTTTCTTTTGATTGTGCACTTCTATTCTATAAGTAATTACATGTCAACTTACTCTCAGTAGAGTATTAGTGGACTGTGTGTTTAATATCTGCTAACACTTTATTGTGATGCTCCCCAACAGACTTTATACAGACTATAAGTCACTTTGCAAGTACAAGTCACCTTATAGAGTGCCGAAGTGATGGCGTCACTTTGTAGGACAACTCGGAAGCTAGCGGCGCATGGGTTCCCTCGGTCGAAAAGCAATGCATTTTCCCCGTAGACTTTTGGAAAATCGCAAAAAAATAAGATCTGTGTTTAACAAAGAGTTGTGACCCTTACACGTTTTGTCTAGCAAGATAATCTTTACAAGTTAATCCAAAATTTATACATTTTGAAGCCTATATAAAGATTTTAAAAAACGCAATCAGACACAATAAAGTTTAAAAAAACACAAGCAGGTTATAACTGTGTGTTTTATGTCATAGATCAAAACGTGAAAATATTTAGAGACTTTGTTCACCACAGACCTTATTTCAGGCGATTTAGCAAAAACCCATTCAAAAATCCCATAGGCTTTAGAGCGAGGGAACCGTAGTGCTAAAATGCTAACTCACTTCCGCGTTTTGGCCTACAGAGTGACGTCGTAACTTCGGCACTCTATTATACTAACCTAATGCCTGGTTTAGATTACACGATTTTAGCCCGATTTTGGCACGATCCGTTTGACGTAGGGTGTCGTGTGGATTCGTAAACGACAACGGGCGTCGGGATGCAAGATTCGATCGTATAATCTCGTATAGTGTGTCATAGTGGGCAACAACCTATGTCGCGTCTGCGATGCTTCACGACAAATAGACTAGCATGTTTAATTTTTTTAACGGTCGTCCACGACGGTTCCGTCACATGTATGAGGTTGACCAATAGGACAGCCCGTTCTCATCCTTTATCGTCACATAGAACGCTATATGACAAAACGGCGCTATACTACACACGGCACCCTTTATCGTTAATATTCACGCGAACCCAAGGCGTCATAAATCCTTTAGCGTAATATGAGACTACCCTACCCTACCCCACACATAAACCTAACCATCACAGCGCGTGTTATATTAACGATAACGGGTGCCGTGTGCTTAGTATAGCGCCGTTTTGTCATATAGCGTTCTATGTGACACTAAAGGATGAGAATGCGTTGAATAGGAGCACAGAAGCTTTTTCATACACAACTTTCAAAAATGGCGAAACAAAAGATAGATGATGGTGCCAATGTGGTGCTAGTGTTTTTCCAACCATATACCGTGAAAGTGCACTGGAACGGCAGTCAAACCCGTGACTTCCCACCCGTGAACTCGTACTAGACCGATGTACTCCCAGTTACGAGTTCTGACGTCACATAGCCCGACAGCCCCTACGGATGCAGTGTTTCTGCAGGCAGTACTCGGTGAGAATACACTTTAGGACAACATAACGTTAACTAGTTTTCAGTCCATTGAGTGCAAGGATAAATTAATACCAAATACATTTCCAAATATACAAATAAAGTAAAATAAAAAATATAACAGCTTATCTTGCCTCATGCGCTATTGTTCCTCCTCAGTTTCCCACAAATAAACAAGGAGTAAGCACCTTTGGCGTTAGAAATTATTACAAACGCGCGTGAGACCCGTAAGGTCCGCCATGCTGGTTTGTTTACATCTAGGTAGTTTGGCGTGAATGACCTGGAGTGCTACAAAGTCGTAAGTCGTGGTTTGAAGTCGTGATTTACGTGCTCAAAAACCTGCCTGGAACGCAGCATAACGTTAAAACTAAAAGTAAAAATATATAAGAAAACAATATTTTACCTCAAGTTGTCTTTGGAGGATTGACAACCCATATTGTCCTCTTCGACATCCAGGAACGTGTCCATTGTCAGGTTTTCTTTCTTTTTTTACTTTTTTTTCTGCACAGGACAACAAATACAACACTCACCGCTTCAGCCATTGTTTGTTTATGTTCGTTTCCGGAAGTCACGCGCTACTAGTTTCGCCGTCTCGATGACATCACGCGCACCGTTAAAGACTGGTCAGAAAGCAACATGTAGTCTACCATGTGTTTTGTCCACGACACGACAAGATTTTAGGAGTCAAAATCGCGTAATCTGACACAGTGACTATCAAAACAGACAAAAAAAATCGTGTAATCTGATCCAGGCATTACAGTCTAATGAGAATTACTGTAGTAGTTGCAAAGTTACTTATAGAATGTCTAAAGTGGACTATTAAATTATATTGTGTAACACTCGTGACTGGATTGGGGAATCAGCCATACATATTTCTTACTGATCATGAAACTTGTTTTACTCTTTGCAGGATCGTGCATTAGCAAGTTTCTCTGTGAAACTTAAAATTGAGATCCATCATGATCCCGATCTTCATATTTACTTGTTTACGAGGCTTTGAAACTGGAGTTAAATAAATGCCAATCCTTTGACTGCATAAATATAGTATTTGAGAGGATGATATCTTTTTAAATGTAATGTAAATTCATCCAATTTATTTTTGTTGAAAAACATTTGATGAATGAATTTTCCACTGATTTAAATTAAATGTCATGCGACAGTCACTGAGCGTTTTTCAAGTGACCCCTTGTATGTCTGATTTTAATCGCTTAGTATTTATATTACGATTCATGTATTATGTTGTGAATCTGATGCCCTCCAGTGTTTTTTTTTTTTTTATTTACTCAACAAAGCCTATCTGAATGTATTTTGGACAGTTTCCCATAAGTCTCTGTTTTTCCCCCCACAGGTGAATACACTGTGATGACGGCCCACTTCCACCTGAAGAGGAAGATCGGTTATTTTGTGATTCAGACGTACCTGCCGTGCATCATGACCGTCATCCTATCCCAGGTGTCCTTCTGGCTCAACCGAGAGTCTGTTCCGGCCCGAACTGTATTTGGTGAGTTTAATTTCTGAGTGAATCTCCAATTTACTGTAATAATACAATTGCAAAAAAAAAAAAATGTTTAGAGACCGTCTCCGGTTAGTATACGCCTTATTCACGGCAGCGCCATCTTTGATTTTTAATGAGAATGAAAGCGAGGCTGTGAGGGATAGATCTGCATCTCTTCAATGGGCTGTACTGTTATTTAATGTGTTTTCGGATTGTTCTGCTTATAAAACACTGGAAAAATATCTTTCCAAGAAATTTCAGTTGACAAAAAACTCCCGACAATGTAAGCTGTGGAAAATTGTAAGTAATCTAGGAGCTTTATTCAGCTTTTTACAGCGGATGCCATTGGAAACACGGTAAGTCCCTCACAGCCTCACTTTCATACCTGTCATGGCGCTGCTCTGAATAAGGTCTATAGTAACCTCGGGTTCCTTGAGATGCAGGAACGAGACGTTGCGTTAGCCACCGTGTTCGCTGTTTGATCAGCTGTGCAAGCGTTCAGTCGTGATTCTGACGCAATTGTTGCGCCCATGCATTATATACAAGGGGGTAATCCATCAACCGGGAACTGAAGCTACCCTGGGGGCCGCCATTGGTTAGCAAGCCTTCACATGCTGTTAGCATTCCTGTAACATCAGGCAGTTTTGATGTATATACCGTTTAAAGTTGATGATCGCGTTATTTTGCATATTCATCTGCTTACTTTTGAAATCGCTTGTTTCTGATTCTTCTTCACCTGTGTTTGATAAGGAGATTCAGTGCTCTTTCAGAAGATGTGTAATAGCGCCCCCTACCGTATAACAGTGAAAACATGGAAAGTTGGGAATTTCCATCAATAGCAGGGAAGCGGTGTCTCATAAATGACGGAAATTTTCATCAATGGAGGGGAACGAGTTAATTTCATAAATGGAACATAGTGATCAGTGATGGGTTTATCATGAAATATATTGATGGTTGATTACATTTAAAATCTTTCCACATGATCGCTGTTGCCAAACTGATATTCTGACTTCTGCTGGGTTTGACGCACTGTTGGCCTCCAGTCGAACTAAAGGAGAAAATCTGCATAAATTAATTTACTCTGACAGATTAATGGAGGACTAAGGTCACACTGAGCTGAACGAAGGTTTGATTTTAGATTAAAATTGACATGGCTGTGATTGAGTCTAGATTTTTAATTCTAACAATAGGTATGTGTTGTCATATTCACCCATTCAGGAGGAAATTAAAGTGAAGTTTACAAAAGTTTTTTGACTGTCTCAGAAAGTATAACATGCAAAAAAAACTTTCATTTTACTTTTCAAGAATAATAATAAAAAAAAAAAATCAGCTAAGATTTCACACTTTGAATCCCAGACTTTATGTATGATCAGCTCAGATGAGAAAGTCCATTATCTTGGCAGTGTCTGATATCTTTGTAGCACCAATATGCTGTTAATATTAGGCAATTATTTCACAACCCCCCAAAAATACAGAGGTCCGGACCTCAATGGTGGGTACAGCCATGGCCATGAAATACGAAAAAGTAGCCTATGACTTGCATATGAGCGAAACACACAAACTAGTGCTGAACATTATTTAAAAAAAAAAAACATTTTGATCATTTGTGTTAGTTCAAATTGCATTTACTAAGGTTAAGAGACATCTTTAAAATGTAAAAATGTATTGGTAAATATTAAAATTAACAATGAACAATTCTTGTATTAACCTTACAAATTGACTTTATTGTAAAGTGTCATACAAATCCAAACAGTCATGCTTGCAGATGGCCATCTTTAAATATCTACACAAACAGTGTGGCTAATGAATGCATAAAAGCGACCAGCTGGATATAAACTAATGCAAATAAATGGTAACAATCGTGACATTAAACATTTAGGTCGGGCTTGTTAGTTCACCCAAAAATAAAAATGATGTCATTAAAGAGTCTCCCTCATGTCCAAGCCCGTCAGACCTCCATTCATCTTCAGAACACAGTTTAAGATGTTTTAGATTCAGTCCGAGAGATTTCAGTCCCTCCATTGAAAATGTGTGTACGGCATACTGTCCTTGTCCAGAAAGGAAATAAAGACATCATCAAAGTAGTCCATGTGACATCAGTGGGTTAGTTTATTTGAACCCGAATACACGGACACACGTCAGCAGCGTCACTGAACGCGGATCCACAAGATAAGATAAGATAAGATAAGATAATATAGTACTTTATTGTCCGTGTACACGGAAATTTGTCTTGCAACACAAACTCCAACAATTATAACACACACAAACTAAAAACAAAACATACAGTCATCAACAGTGGTGGAGGAAGTACTGAATCTCAGTACTTAAGTAAAAGTACAAATATCCAGATAAATATTTACTTTAGTAAAAGTAGAAGTAACACAATGACAACCATACTTAAGTAAAAAGTAAAAAGTACCTGATTTTAAATGTACTTTAAGTATTAAAAGTAAAAGTACTTGCATAACAATTTATTCTCATGATGTCTATTTTCTAATGATTAATAAAACATTTAATTCTATAACTTATTCAACTTAATACTCCTATAATGATGTTCAATAATGATGGAAAAAAAATGTCACCATTTCTGAAACAAGCTTGCAATTATGCAACACATCATGCTTATCCTTACTATATATTAAAAACTATGTTTGGCAGTAAACGCCAACGATTAACGATTCAACGACAAAAGATTAATTTATGGTGTTATTCTGAACCTCTTGGCTTGCCATAATCCTAACCAAACGTATATTACACAAAGTGCGTTTCCTATGCACGTAAAAACAAATTTTCGCGTATAAATTGCACGATAAACACACTGCGTGCGAGACGCATTGAGTGTGACCGGGTTGATGTATCTATGGCAACCAAACGTCACTGGTGAGACAAAAACATGCAATGAACGGACGGTCAAATTACGTTTTGGCAGGGGAAAACCTGATCAGAAAATGTAATGAAAATGTAACATAAGTTGTAGAAATGTAGTGGAGTAGAAAGTATAATAATTGCTGCAAAATGTAACGAAGTAAAAGTAAAAAGTATGCACTATTTATTTTACTTAAGTAAAGTAAAGATACGTGAAAAATTTACTTAAGTAAAGTAACAAAGTATTTGTACTTCGTTACATTCCACCACTGGTCATCAATAAAAAGTATACAAAAGTACTTAAATAATATTATGGGTACTCCGCCCTGCAAGAGTGTTCTTCAGCTACAAGTGGGGGGAAAACTATCACTTCTTTCCCCTCATGCGTTGATTCAGCATCGATATTGACAGAGGAACAAATGAGTGTTTGTATTTGTTCTTCCTGCACTCTGGGACCCTATAGCGCCTCCCAGAGGGCAGGAGTTGATACTCCTTATTCAGCACATGAGAGTAATCTTGGGAGATTTTATGAGCCAATCGTACAGTATGTATTTCATGACTTTCAATAAACGCCTTCTCAACCGACTGTCCCACCAATTTTGAACAAATTCCCAGGAGCCGAAAAATCCTGGCCTTCAAATGAGCTGAGAGGCCCCCAAACCACACTGCGCCACCATACTGCAGAATGCTTCGAATAGTTGACACAAAGAAAAGAGACAGGATTTCGCTACTCGCTCCGAATGACCAACAGAACCGGAAGAGAATACAATGCTGAATAAAGTCGTAGTTTTTGTTATTTTTGGACCGAAATGTATTTCCGATGCTTCAAAACATTGTAACTAACCCACTGATGTCACATGGACTACTTTGATGATGTCTTTATTTCCTTTCTGGACAAACACATTTTCAATGGCAGTAAGTAACACTACTGTAGCCGAAGAAGCAGGATTGACCTTCAAGCCATAAAATTCACAAGGAGCCCAGGGAGCCTCTGGCTCCTGAGTCCTCTGCCCCAGATTAGAGACTTTAACGGGGAAGCCGGTCCTTTCTGGGCATTTCTGTGAGGATTTATGGAGCTCAGGTACGGAATAATTCGGTTACTGTGGATATTCCCTGAGCTCGGTGTTGCTAAGCAGGTAATGTTGAGGAGCTGAGCCCTCCTGGCATAGGTTCAGATGTCTTTCTGCCCCTACCGTCTGTCTCTCTTTCTGTCTTTGTCTTTATTCTACCGTCGGTTTCTCTCTCTGTCCCTGGAGGCTTTCTGACAGTTCTTCAACTGTCCCGGCCCCTTTCTGTCTCTTATCTTTCTCGCTCTATCCGTCTATTATACAGCCTTTTAAACAACCTGCCATGAGGCAAACATTCAGAACTAGCGTTCCCAAAAGAGATATTGCATTGCCAAACAATAACGCTTTAAGGTCAGTATATTAATGCCACAAATTAATTGTAGAGCATCATATGAAATGTTAGCATGTTGTGTATAGCTTATTAAAGTTAAACAATGTGTCAAGAGGTATTAAAGTTGAAATAGAGAGAATTGCATAAAAATGGAGCTCAGATGTGCATGAAGGCGGTCGAGAGCTGCATAATTGAAAACTCGCTCTGGGCTAAATAGCTAAGGAGTGTTATCTAATGTATACTTTATTATGACGCTTGTATGTACGCTGCACAGTCATGTTTTTAATTACTAAAGTAATAAAGGATTAGTCCAACCGAAGATGAAAATGCTATCATTTGCTCACCCTCGTGTTGTTGCGAACCCCAGAGAAGTTTCTTTCTTCCAGGGAACACAAAGGCAGTTACATTGCCGAATCCCCGGAGTGCTTTCCCAAATGAGGACCGGGGCTTTCGAGCTCCAAAAAATAAAAATAAAAAGCCCCATAAAAGCAGTCAGTATGGCTCATGCATTATATTCTCTAGTCTTGGGATGTGATGCAATAGCTTTGTGTGAGGAACACGGCAAAATTACGTAGTTTGTGGAAAATCTTGCCGTCGGCGACAACTCTCACATCTTCAGGTCAAGAATGTAGTGTTAAAAATGCATTGCACATTCGACAGTGATGCTAAATCCCTTGGTTTTTCACGTGTTGTGAATGATTGGCAATTTTTGAATAAGCGGGTGTGAAAATGGTGATTTATTT